ACCCTTGTTTTTTCTCTCTTTTTTGCCCCTAATTCCATAACGGTTTGAGCCATAACCCTCCAAAGCCAATCCTAACCATCCCTTTGAGGTATGGAAACTTGTGGTATAATTTCAGAGAGATCCATACACTGTTCCACAAGTTATTGTCATGAAACTAGAAAAATGCTTATTTGGGCTCCTTTTTGGCCCCTAATTCCTAAACTGTTGAGACCATAACCCCCAAAATCAATCCCAATCTTCCTTTTGTAGTTATAAACCTTATGTTTAAATTTCATAGATTTCTATTTACTAATACTCAAGTTATTGTCCGGAAACCAAATGTCTTTGGACAACGACGTGATACCAATATATGACAGCAAAATTTTTTGCGGTTGTATAAAAACAAGCATTCTGAGAGTATTGCATGGCAATACATAGCCCCCTAACGGTTAAAAATTCATTGTACTGGAATAAAATGCTAACTTGATCTATAACTTGTCATGGTGTAAACTATATAACAAATATCTTCAAGCATGATGAAAAAAAGTGCAGAAAACTGATTGAGTGAATTTTCTAAGTCCAAGGACCATTTCTCTGCACAAAATCATCAGACCGGAACAAAATTCCAACTTGATCTGTAACTTGTCATAATAAAACAAAATACCAAATATCAAGTCAATATCTTCAAGCAGGAAGAAAAAAAGTGTGGAAAACTGATTTGATGGACAGACAGACAGACAGACAGACAGACAGACAGACAGACAGACAGACAGACGGAGTGCAAACCTAAAGTCCCCTTCGACTTCGTCGATAGGGGACTAAAAAATCAGGTCTGAGTGCTTGTTTTAGAGCTAAACAAGCATTTGAAAAATTTGTTTTGGTGGGAAAAATTAGTCTTCAGATGGGAATGAAGAAATGAATGTTAACTGTAAGAAAAATGTGGTTAATTCAAAGATTTTTGCAATGTTTTTATCATTGGGAAAATTGCAATGCTATATGTGTAGCAAATAATAACTCACATACCGGTACTAAATTTTGAAAGCATTATTTGTATGTATCATTTCCTGTCATTGCAATAATTAATCTCTCATAGGTGTCAATTGCTCAGCAATCACAATTATAAATGCACTCAAAAATTTCCTATTTTACAGTATCAAAATAACAGAAATTTCAAAATATTTTACCAAAAATGTATTAAGAAAATTGTTTTCTTCCAATGATGAGAAATAAAGTGAATAACAGACAATTTTTTTAACGAATACCCTAAGATAAAGTCAGAGGAATATCAAAATATATATGAAAAGTTGTAAAGGTGAGAAGTTTACTTCCTTAATTACAAACAAGTCATACGTTCTTAAGGATATTCACTTGTGAGACATAGAGAAGGTAGTGCTTATTATTATGCACCAAACTACCAACAATTCCAACAATTCCATATTAGAAGGATGTGATAATAACATGTCACGAATGTAAGATATGTAGGATGAACAACAGGTGTCATAGAAAACATAACCTTTCTGTGAGTTCCTTAAATCCCAACTGTGTTTTAAGTAGGAAGGTGCTATCAAACTTAAAATAATCATTTGATTTATAAATACCAACAAATGACATACAAGGCAATTTCAGTGTAGTAAATCATATTTAATACATATAAGGGATGTGAAAGAGTACTCGAGTATCACTAGGGAATACAGATAATCAAATACCAATATGAAACTGTTAGGACATTGTTCCCTTCTTTCAATAAATTGATTTTTTGGAAAGCACCTATCCGAGAACTTAATAAAATTCACTAAATAATCATAGTTTAAAAATCGTTTTGTATGTTTGTGCGAAATTGTCAATTAAATGGCTTTCGAAATCTTTCGTTTTTAAAAACTTTACAAACATGTTGCACAATATTAGAGCCAAATGTTGTTGTGAATAACAAACAAAATAACATTAAAACTGACAGGCATCACATCGGTGATTTCTTATCATAATATACATTTGTGAATGTGTTTTCTTTACGATTAAAAAATGTAACTGTTGTTTGATCTGGTTAGACTTTATAGTCATTATATTCAAAAGGTGTTTATCTAATTATCAATTAAATTATAGTTTACTTAATTGGTACATAAGAAGCTGCTGAACCAACGCCTTTGTGGTGAAGTGAAGGTAGAGTCACCAAAGAGGATACCCGATGGTATGCAGGGTTGTCAATAAAAATAAATAAATAAAATACCGCTGGATTATGACGTTAAAATTTAGATACCATTTTTTTATACTTCAGGGATTGTAATTTCTATATAATTTGTCCTGAAGACGCCGATCTAATCGGCGAAACTAGTCGACACAATAAAACTTGCAGTTCACTAAAGTGTTGTTGTCAATCCAGCGGTATTTTATTAATTGGTACATGTAGTGATTGAGCTATTAATTATGGTAGTTCATGCCTGGGACTATAATTATCCAGCCCAAGATAATGGTTTAGATGGTTTAATGTCAATTAGGCAATGACCAGCAAAGCGTAAAATGCGTTTTATTGTTTTCCCATTTTTGTAGATATTTTTCAGAGGGAGTACTTGAGTATGGCTCAATAAAAAAAATGGGGAATGTGTCCATGGGACACAGATGATGCCCCCGCTTGCATATCATATAAAGTTATAAAGGGACATAACTCAAGAACGGTAAAAGTGAAGCTTCCCAAATGTGTACTTGATCTGAGTTTTGTGGTAATAAGTATTGTGTATAAGTTTCATAAAATTTGGTTGAGGCAACCTTAAGTTAGAGAACGGAAACGAAAAATTCAGCAATTTTTCCATTTGTAAAGGGGCATAACTCTAGAACGGTTAAAATGACGCCACCAAAATTCAATCTTGATCTGTATTTTTTGGTAATAAGCATTGTGTATAAGTTTCATAACATTTGGTTGAGGCAAACATAAGTTAGAGAACGGAAACAAAAATTCAGCAATTTTTCCACTTGTAAAGGGGCATAACTCTAGAACGATTTAAAGTGACACCACCAAAATTCAAACTAGATCTGTGTTTTGTGGTAATAAGCATTGTGTAAAAGTTTCAATACATTTGGTTGAGGCAAACTTAAGTTAGAGAACGGAAACCAACTTTGGGACATACGGACGGACGTACAGACAGACAAGGGTAAAACTTAATGCCCCCTCTGCTAGGGCGGGGGCATAACAAAGTACTTGATTAGTAATTCATCACAGAGTTGACATCCTCAATACATATGATATCATCTTCTTATAGTGTGGAACAAAATACCAGGTCTTCTAGTCAGGATTCAAAAACTACAAAGCATTTTAAAACCAAGGCATCAAATTTTCCCATGCTACCTGACATCACCATACTATAACTTGTGCAACACAGCAAAATAAGGACATTTTTTTGCAAAGTTTTGATAAAGATAGTTAGATACCTCAAGATCTGTTTTATTCACTCATATAATCAGTTTTCCACACTGTTTTTTAGTCATGCTTGAAGATATTGACATGATATTTACTTTTTGTTTACACCATGACAAGTTATAGAACAAGTTAGCATTTTGTTTCAGTATAATAAATTTTTACCCGGTAGGAGACTATGTATTGCCATGCAATACTCTCAGATTGCTTGTTAAAAAAAAACTATTTTACAGTAAAATTCCAAACTTTTATAAGATGACATTAAATGTATAACATGATTTTAATACTGCAACTGCAATGCATTTCATTTGTATTTTGATATTTATTTTTGGGTAAATCTGTTGCCCACATATCTGTTTTGTCCAAAAAAACTATGCGTAAAATAGACAAATTGGGTCTAACATGTCAATTTCCGCATGTTGAGGACATAATGGTGACACCTGTGACCTTTCAGCACTTATTTAAGTGTCCTGCTTAAACATGTATTAACCTTTTCATTTATCAATAAAATTAACACAATTTTGAAAAGACTCAAATTATTTTTACTATTTTTACAATTTCAAGGGGTAAATAATGGCTCTTCTCATATGTTATCCGTCAAAATGATAATTAATGTTTAGCACCTTCCTACTTAACACACAGTTGGGATATAAGGCATGTCTCACAAGCAGGCTTAATATGTTTTCTTTGACAAATGTTGTTAACACATCCAGAGATGATTTTACTTTGAAATAAAATTATCTGAAAGTCATTAAAATTTACCTGACAACACCTCCATCCTCTTTTAAAAGTGTCATTTTCTATTAGCTCTTGCCAAGTATGGCAATTTTGTAAAAAAAAAATCAAGAAAAATGCCCTTAGAACATGTGATTGGTTTGTTATTAATGAAGTTACATCTCACTATAACAACCTTTTTTTATATTTTGTAACCCCCTTTGGCTTTTCTTAAGGGTATGAATTCACAAAAATTGTCTGTCAAATACAATTTTTCTCAACATTTAAAAGAAAGTATATCTAAATGTGGTAAAAAACTTTTAAATTCTTGTTAATTTTAATCTATTTTTTTTTACATATAATTGTATCAAAATCTTCCTATGCATTTCTTATACTGTGTATTATAAAATTGAAAATGGAAATGGGGAATGCGTCAAAGAGACAACAACCCGACCAAAGAGCAGAAAACAATTTTTGTAGGTACCAATTTTCGTGGATTGAGGACAAATTGTATATTCTTGGATATTTGATTTCATGGTTTTGGCAAAGTTTGCATACAAGCCCATAGAAAATGTGTTTTTGCTGAAATTCTTGAGTCACCTATGTCTACAAAATTTACAACAATTTATATAATAGTATCCAACAAATGACAACAACTCCACAATATCCTTACTGAACCATCTTCATGATACTGCTCTCTTTGTACCATGCTATAACCACACTTCTTTTGTTAAAACCTAAGATACTACTTTTCACTAGCTTGATTTTTCTTGTACCATGCTATAGCCAGACTGTCTTGCTAGAACTTAAGATACTACTTTTTACATACCTGATTCTCTTGGTATCTTGCTATTGCCAGTTTACATCTATTAGAACTTTTAAAGATACTGGTTTTACATACCTGATTTTTCTTGTACCAAGCTATAGCCTGTGTTAGAACTTTAGAAGCTTGTTCCCTGTCCTCTTGTCCCAAGTACAATGTGACCATGGCAGAGACCTAGAACATATTTATGAAGATACTAAATTAAAAGTCATCATGGTATAGTGATACAAAATCAAGTTGTTAAGGAAATATGGGGTAAAAAATGTTTTCATACTTTGCCAAAATGAAGTTTATAAAGTTTTTTTTCTCTCCAAAAATACAATGAACAAAAAGAATGTGTCCATAGTACACGGATGCCCCACTTGCACTATCATTTTCTATGTTCAGTGGACCGTGAAATTCGGGTCAAAACTCTAATTTGGCATTAAAATTAGAAAGATCATATCATCTGGAACATGTGAAATAAGTTTCAAGTTGATTGGACTTCAACTTCATCAAAAACTACCTTGAGCAAAAACTTTAACCTGAAGCGGGACAGACGGACGAAATGAAGGATGAACTGACGAACAAACAGACGCACAGACCGAAAAACATAATTTATTTGAAAAGTATCACAAATGAATTTTATTCCTGCATCAAAATTTGTTATTTCGTTTAAAATCATTTACTATTTATATTTAACTTTGTATAGGAAAATACAGTTGATTTGACTTATCATGCTATATAGCAAGGGTGACCCCCTTTTTTTCCAAGATGGAGAAAGACTACCATACTACCATTGAACTGTTCTTGTCATATGTGTCTGCTCTAAACATTATAATAAGTATCAAACAAAACTAAAAGGATTTATAATTAAAAAATTCTTTGTTCATTTATCCTAAAGTAATTTAGTATGCAAGACAAAACTGGTATACATCACCAAATTTTTTTTGAAGTTCATGAATCATGTACAAGCTGATAGTGCAGCCAACAATGTTATAAATTTCAACTGAAAGCAGAATCATATTTTCAAACAGTATTATAAGCACACAGTGGACAAGTTTTTAAAGACTTCCTGGTTCAATTTATTTTCCCTAAAAATAACTGATGACTGGAAAGCACAAAATGCTTACTTTCTTCTTAACTTCAATGCCTCTAATTTTAAGTTGTAAACAAAATGAGATTTATGCTAGTTAGACTTACCACACCAGGTTTGTATTGTAAGTCTCCCATTGTCTTCAGTGTGTCACAGGCATCATACACATGTCCTTGGGACAGGTATATCTGTGCAATCACCATCTTTATACTAACTGATCTGGATTGATGAGACTGTTCATAAGCCTGAAATACAAAATATATCTTACAATTTGATGAATTATTGCAAAAATATTATCTCCTTAGTATACAATCTTTGATATAAGCAACAATATACAAATAGGAGGATGTGGTATAATTGCCAATGAGACAACTTTCTACCAGATACCAAATGGCGTAAAAGTTAATAACCATAGAATTCAACAAGAATGGTAATACTTTATCATCAAATTTGGTGTTTATTTTAATTTCCTGTATTTAAAAACATCAAAAGTAAGAACATCTTTGAAATGTACATGTTTGGTCATCTCAAAGCTCTTATATCATTTTTAAATGTTATCTTAAAGCTTAATGGCCACTGACATTAATTTATTTTTTATATGTAAACCTCCTACTAAAATTGTGACAAAAATTAAAGGCTACAACAAATCCTCAACTATAAACATCTATGGCCTCCATGTCTATAATGAAAGTCTGCTAATCCATGCAGTTGACCTGTATGTAAATTCCTGGATTTTGACAGAACTGACCTTCAAGACTTCAATGGCTTTAGTAGTATCTTTGTCCTTGACATACTGGGCAGCTTCAATCAACACTGGTGTATCAATATCAGGGTACTCCTTCATTAACTTCTGGGCTAAATTGTGACACTGGCTACTCTGTAAGTATATAATGTTGATTGAAGAGAAATGTATTTTTAATAATGTAGTAAATACACCTTATCACTACTTGTCTGTCATTGCTGGACATCAAAGAAGTTGAGGTAAAATTTTAGTGTCACAAGAGAACATGTCAAATGCCACAAAGGAGAAGGGTTTGTTGTATGATGAATATGATCGGGTGTTGGAAACTTTCTGGTCAAGTGTCAAAGAATCACAAATAGCGAGATAAGGGCTATTGTTTTCATTAGATCCTTTATGAGAACATTAAGACAAACAGATATTTATGTATTAGCATGTTTTATTTCAGACAGCAAAAACTGTGTAAAATCAATTGAATAATTCAAAACAGAGTTAAATAAAATATGTTCAATTTCAGAATTCACAAGAATCTAAAATGTACATAATCAACAATATGTTGAATGTAACTTTCTTTCACATCCAGTATGTTTAATGTATGTTACTTTAGCATAATTTGTTAAAAAGATCTTTATGCTGCTAAGGTCTATCTCAAATAATAAATGGTACCCAGAGATAGAACTTTAAAATTGGGGTTGCCACAGTGAAGTAATTTCGAGGGCTTCCACTTTGAAAGTACTGAAATGTAATTCTGTATGTAATTTCATTCTATGTAAGTAGAAAAGACACTGATTGTGATTTCAAAGTGCCTTCTCTGGAAGCGAATAATATCTACATGGGTCAAAAAGCTATCCTGATAGATGGAATTAATGTGTTTACATTTCAAAAGTTTTTTTCAGGTCCATTTTGGTGCTCTAAATGGTCCTATATATTTAGTGTTGAAAACCTCATCACAAGCTTAACTGATGAAGGGTATTACAGAAACATGTGCTCTGAATTCAGAATCATTACATTTATGTAATATGTATACTATCAGCATGTGGTATTTTGTGACAAAGAGGACAAGAATATTTGTATAGAATATTACCTGGTTTGTGTACATATGTAGTAAGCCTTCATTCAAACTAATACATCTCTGCTGTGCAGCTGTTAGTTTATGTTTTAAACCATCTGCTTTGGCTGTTTTCATTCTTTTCTTAGAATCAAATACATTTTGGTCCTGTGAAGAGGTTCAAAAGTTACATGACAACAATGTCAGCATGATGAACATTTCAAAATATACAAACAAATCATTACAAGTTCCATGCGAGAAGTATGTTTTAAAAATCATATAAGTCTTGGTATTTTTTGAATATTAAAATATATCTACAGTAACTGCTCAAATTCTTTAAATAAATCTCTCACAAAGCAAGTAACCATGTTAATACATCACAATAACAATTTTTCATTTCAATTGAAAGTTTGGGTAAGAATAGGAACTGTGGATTTATTTATTTTCATGGGTATTTTAAAATAGGATTTTCGTTGATGGAGAAAAAATGTATATTTTTGGATATTTGATTTAGTGGATTTGCCAAAATCTGTATAAAAGCCTAAAAAAATGTATACTTCGTTGAACATTTAAATTCATGGATTACCTTAACACATAAAATCCATGAAAATTGGTACCCAACGAATAATAATGAATTCACAGTACTTACTGAACCTTGTCCTATCCCTTGTACATTGTAGGATATCAATTTTGTATGTACCAACTTTGGAAAAAGGTAGCTTGTCAATATAAAACATTGATGATCATGAAAGGTTATTTCTATAATTTTCTGCTTCAAACCTTAAAATAATTTGTGTCAAAGAATTTATATGAATTTAAGAACTTTTTTTAATGTGCCGTTTACTGACCTTATTAAGAGTGATGATATTATTGGATAACACTGCCATCACAGCCATATCTGATGGTCTGAAATAAAAAAAAATATTACTTAAGCATAAAATAATTATTGAACAAATTTGTAAGGGGCTATTCCAGAAAGGATCAATGAAGGGGGTTCAGAAAAACTAATGTAAATATTTTGGGTAGTGAGGCATTTTTGTTTTGGTTTTTAGAAAGATTATGGAACAATAATGTTTTCATAACTTTTTTTTTGAAGATTACAACAGTGTTTCCTGTATTACCACGCTGAATTTTGTGAAATGAATTGTGACATACAATTCTGAAGATAACAATAGAGAGGCGAAAGATACCAAAGGGACATTCAAACTCATAGTGGAAAATAAACAAAATGCCATGGCTAAACAAGAAAAAGACCAACAGACTAACAACAGTACACAAAACACAACATAGAAAACTAAAGACTGAGCAACATGAATCCCACCAAAAAACTGGGGGTGCTCTCAAGTGCTCTGGAAGGGTAAGCAGATCCTGCTCCACATGTGGCACCCATCGTGTTGATCATGTTAGTACAAACCCGGTGATAAGTCTAATTTGGTAGGTCACATTACACAAAAACTGTAATTGGAATTTAAAGATCTTGGTGCATCATATTCTGAAATATCTCTCTTTACATTCAATATATATAATATGACACAGTTGTTCATGAGACTTTTTTCATCTTAAATTCCCTGCAATCACCTTGCTTCACAATGATTTGCTATAGACAGCCAGAGTGAAATTGACTAGAATTACCTTGTATCTAAATATACAATTACATACACTGGTAGCTCAGTAAAAACTTACTTATTCTTAGTGACTTGATTGTTTAATTTGACAGCTTCATCTTTACGTCCTTGTTTCTGTAACACATAGGCTAACTGTACTCTATGATAGAAAACAAAGTACTATTACTAAACATCTGTCATGAAGTCAGTGTCATGTAATTTATTGGTTGTGGTTGGTTGCTGTCTTCTTTATTTGTTTTTTTGCTGTTTTCGGCATAAATCAGGCCGTTGTATTCTCTTTTTGAATTGTTTTACTATTTTGTCATGCCATGGCCTTTTACAGATTATTAAAAAAGTATGGATTTTGTTCATTGTTGAAGGCTATACAGTACCCTATAGTTGTTTATATCCTTGACCTTTGGTCACTGGGGGATATTTGTCTCATTGGCAATCATTTTATATAATCTTGATGTTCTAAGAATTTACTGCCTTATATAATCACAGACTCTATATCTCTGACTGATGAGTACAAAAGTTTTGTAATCTTTTACTGAGTTTAATTCTGACCTGTCAATGGGTACTTCTTTCAAATTATCATTTCAAAGTCACTGCCCCATATTAAACATATGCACCATTATAATCTTATTCCATAAATAAATCCAACCAAAAAAAGCATTATCTAGCATTTAATAGCTTGCTATGCAGTATGGGTTTTGCTCATTGTTGAAGGAGATACAGTGGCCTATAGTTGCTTACTTCTACGTCAATTGGTCTCTGGTGGAGAGTTGTCTCATTGGCAATCATACCACATATTCTGATTTTTAAATATACCTTATAATTCCCAATTCTTCTTCTATTTCTTCCTCTGTAACATCTGATTCATCCTCAAAACTTTTCTTGCAAAAAACTAAATGTAAATATCAACTGTGTCAATTACTTACTCTAAAGTCATTTAAAAAGAAAAATGACTTGATGCCAAAAGGCAACCAAAATAAACAGAAAAATATTTTCAGTTGTTTTTTCAAGGACTGCATCCTTATATTTCTAATTACTAAACAAACAAAAAATGAATGTAAATAATAATGAACTGATAAACATAAAAACTTTCAAGGAAATGGTAAGTTGTCACTTCAGCAAAACTCCTATCTAGCAGTGATTTTAGCGCTCGTCATTTTCGTCATTTACGAAACGGTTTTCAAAATGACGAAAGTATTCCAAATCAATTTCGTCACTTAATTTTGGAAGGAGTAAAAATATTTTCGCATGAAAATACTATAATTCTACCTGTCTTATTGTTTCTGACAAGTTTATGACCCTCAGCTAATTAACATTTACAACAGGTGTTATAAGTTGTGACTACAGATAATCCGCTTATCGCCATCGGATGGGTCACTAATCCGTTAATTATCTATCAACCTCAAAATTGATCATCAATATATTTTTTATCCCCAGTAAAATCAGTCAGTCGGCATTTCAATTTCAATATTTATCAAACGAGCAAAATTTGCAGTTCGTTTGTCGTAGTTTCGTCATATGAGTTTTCCCTCGGACAGTTCGCATTTTAATTTCAATATTTCTCAAACGATCACAATTTGCAGTTCGCTTGTCATAGTTTTGTCAAATGAACGTATTTTCGTCATATTTGATATAACTTTCGACAATTTCGATTAAAAAGATAGAACTTTGTTCATAACATTCAGAAATGTTTTCACGAGTCAAACAGGTGCTTCCTTTACGATGAACTGCGCATGCGCGAAAGTATTCATATGAATTTAAAGACACTAAAACGTAAAATACGAAATAATTTAGTATCAAACTAAACGAGAGAGACAATTATAGTTCTTATTTAGCAAATTTAATTTAAAAAATTATAATTTCCTGCCTTTTTTTAAACACGAACCAATCCGTAGATGAATCCGGATTCATTCTGAATTTATTATCCACTTGTCACTTCCCGTTTTCATTTCATTTGGAAATCGAAAGTAAACGTGATCTGATTCATGATAAATTTACAATTTAAAGTCATTAGAATTGTTCCAATAAGGATTTGTACAAATCCTTGGTTCCAACTTTATAGAATTAATTCTAAATATCGCTTTAAAACGTTTTTAAGTATAAATAATGCAGTGAAATAGTCCTTACAAGTTCATTTATGCTGTGATCATAGTCCTGGTTTTAAAAAAAATGGATCCCAACTTTTGCTGATTAGGAATGTACCCTGAAACTTACTGAAGTGAAATTGTGAACTAGATTTCTAGATCTTATATCCTAATCTTCGTATTAAAGTGCTACATCAGTTAAATCATGCAGTAACTGCCTAGTATGCCTAAGTCCTTCAAAGACAAAGTCTGACAAAGATGTATAGATAGTAATATACATCCTAGGTCCCTTGCTGCTACCCAAAATAAGGTTGATTTTCATCCCGCGCAAAAGTGACTAAAGCCCTCAAAATCCTAGCTTAAACCCTGTATCTAGGGTGAAAATGGTAAGCTGTCACTTCAGTAAAACTTCTATCTTGGGTGAAAATGGTAAGCTGTCACTTCAGTAAAACTCCTATCTAGGGTGAAAATTGTTTTAATATGGAGTCAATTAATGCATTAACTCATTAAAATCCTCATGGACTTAGAAATAAATATGAAGTTATAAATTAGAGAATTAAACTGAATTTGATTTAAATTTTGCACAAAGGGGGGTAACTCTAAAGTCATACTTTCTGCTTTCCTCAGTTTCATCTCAGCATTTTTCCAATCTTCTTTTCCAATAAAGTAACAAGCATTGTTGTAACAAATCTCATATGAAGTTTCATCCAACTCAGGATTCTCCTGGTAAAATAGGGAAATAAAAACAGGGACTTATTTTAAAAATGCTTCTACAATATCTATTTTGAGTTTTACCAAGAAAGCTTTATAAGTGAATCCTAAATACAAATGATATTTTATCCTTCGAAATATTTGGAAATGTTTCTCTGCAATTTGATTAATACAGCTTCAAAGTTAAAAAAAGAAAAGTACTTTTGAATTTCTATTAGTTAATGATCTATACATCTAAATATCTGATCTCACTGTTCCAGTTAAGTCTTGCCCTGAATATGCATGAAATATTTGCCACTGGACATTAAGCAAACAACAATAATCAATCATTGTTCCTGTCAAAAAACAATTTTCCAAACAAGACTGCATGCATTACTTTCAAGCTACTGACCTGATATAAATTCTTTTCATTCAGTAGTACTGGATCAAATGCGAGACGAAAAATTATAAGTTTATTCAACATATCGAAAAAAATTCAAAGTATCAGGAAACATGAAGTAGGTGTCTGATCAATCTGAAATGTGTCCACACATTACAACTTTTTATTATCAAGCTGCTGACCAAATATTAAGAGAATTTTGTTCAGTAATACATGAGAAGAGTGTGACAAAAATAATAGTTGGACAAATGTACAGACAAGGTGAATGTAATATAGCCTAACTCTTAAAACACAGGTATATATCCAAACTTCTTAATGATACAAAAACAAGGAGTAAAAATAATCAGATAATGAACAAATGTTGGAACTTACTACATCTTTCTTGTCCCACAGCTGTAAAGAAGAAACAACAGCGGACAAATTTGTCTGTCTCTCTTCTTCAAAATCATCCTGTAATGAGAGAATTCTTAGATGAATATAACAATTCCATAGTAAAAGTAGTATGGGACTAATACTTGAATGCAACAAAGTGACAAGAACAATTAAAAAAAATCAATGTCCAACTACATAAATTACACATTTTGAAAGCTTTGTCTAATCAAAACATTTATATTACAAAAAGACAAAAATATTTCTGGTTTTGGGTGAATCAGGAATTTCAAGAAAGAACCAAGATATCATCTTGCATTGAGTCAGTTTAACTATAAATTTTTTGCCTGTTCTTTCTTTAAAAAGTTTGTACCAATGCAATGTACATTTCCTAAAAAAAACTAGGAAAAATCAAAAAGGGTAAAAAAATCGATCCCACACAACATTAATACTATACTCACTTCTGTAGATTTAATGATGTCTCTATATAAGTTGTAACATTCTTCATACTGCTCTAATCTGTATAACTAAAACAAGACGATAAAGGTGTGTATATATCTATGAGATTGTTACCCAATAACACAAAAATACAAATCTACAGATCAACTCACAGGTTTAAACAAGATAAATTTCTGTTAAACATATATTAATGTAGTAAACCAACACATTTATGATTAGGTAGATTATTACATTTTTTTGTGATGGCGAACCAACACATTTATGATTAGATTATTACATTTTCTTGTTATCTGGTTATCTACACATGAAGTTCTTATGAATGACAACTTACCACTTGAGAAAGGAGTTCTATTCACTCTTGTGTCTGGTTATCTACACATGTGGTTCTTATGAATGACAACTTACCACTTGAGAAAGGAGTTCTATTCACTCTTGTGTCTGGTTATCTACACATGTGGTTCTTATGAATGACAACTTACCACTTGAGAAAGGAGTTCTTTCACTCTTGTGTCTAGTTGATCTACACATGAAGTTCTTATGAATGACAACTTACCACTTAAGAAAGGAGTTCTTTCACTCTTGTGTCTAGTTTATCTACACATGAAGTTCTTATGAATGACAACTTACCACTTGAGAAAGGAGTTCTTTCACTCTTGTGTCTATTTTATCTACACATGAAGTTCTTATGAATGATAAACTTACCACTTGAGAAAGGAGTTCTTTCACTCTTGTGTCTGGTTTATCTACACTTCTCAATGTTGTTAATGCTTCCTTAGTCCTATTTAATCTGTACTGACAGTAAGCCTTCTCAAAATGTAACCCACTGAAATTATAGAAGGTTAGGGAATTTTCAACAATGTACATCTAAACTGAATAGGACATTGAATAATAATGCAATAAAATGTTCATGTTTAATTCCTGATTTGTCCAAAGTCAGGAGCCTGTAGTTCAGTGGTTTTTGTTGGTTCATGTCTGTCATGTTTGTTTTTCTTAAATTGTTTTGATATAAATTTTCTCACTTGATTTGTTTCATATTTTTTATGTCAGGGCTTTTATAGACGACTATCAGTATGGAATTTTTCTCAAAGTTGAAGTCCGTACAGTTGCCTATTATTGCTTAAATCTACTTTATTTGAACTTTGGGGGATTGGCAATCAAACCACATCTATTTTTTTATATAAACATGATTTACAGGGTGTTTATATATATACTTACCTGAAAAGATCTTTTGATTTGTTTATTGTCATTAATTCTTGGTAAAATTTATCCTCTTTAATTAGCCAAACAATTTTACCCCTCTTTGGTTGACAGCTGACTCTTTATTTTATGTTTGCTATTTGGAAACTTGACAAATATGATTTACAGGGTGTTAATATATACTTACCTGGAAAGATCTTTTGCTTTGTTTATCGTCGTTAATGCTTGGTCAAATTTATCCTCTTTAATTAGGCAAACAATTTTACAATGAAATGCTGTTGTATCTGTATTGTCTTCTTGCAAAACTGAAATACAAAAGAAAGGGATAAAAAAAACTTGTATAGCCAAAAAAAGGGACTAAATTCATTCAGTAATCACTTTACCTACAAACTTACACTGCAAAATTAACTTGCAAGAACCATAATCTATATCATAACAAGAATTTGTCCATAGTACATGGATGCCCAACTCACGCTATCATTTTCTATGTTCAGTGGACCGTGAAATTGGGGTCAAAACTCTAATTTGGCATTAAAATTAGAAAGATCATATCATAGGGAACATGTGTACTAAGTTTCAAGTTGATTGGACTTCAACTTCATCAAAAACTACCTTGACCAAAAACTTTAACCTAAAGCGACCAAAAACTTAAACCTGAAGCGGGACAGACGACGAACGAACGCACAGACTGAAAAACATAACGCCCCTCTACTTTCGTAGGTGGGGCATAAAAATATGCTGTTATAAACAAAACAGCAAATAAACATCTTTTTGATACATTTATTGCAAAGTAGATTGAGCTATTAGGGCAAAAGAGTCGCTTTCCTTTCCACCACTTGTCTTCACTTTTTCTTGAACACCAAAAGGGATATCTTGTCGCCAGTTTGTTTTAACAGTTGTTTATGTCTTTCATCTAGTTTGAGCAAAATGATGTACAATGTAACGACAATTTTTCATTATATTGTAAAGGAATTCAAAGACATAAATTATTTTTGTAAGAAACAAAGTTGAAGCATTTCCTTTGTTGACATATTTTTTCTAAGGACCGACTTGTTATGCAAACTTGAACAAACAAAAGGATTTTCATTCACTCCTGGCTGGTCATTGTCACATAAGTGTTCTTCAAAAGCTTCTAATTTTCAGCAAAATAAATTTGATACTTCATTAAAACTTGATTAAAATGGTCTTTAGTTCATGTTTAATTCATTTATGTTTATTGCATTTAAAACGTCATAATGATATTTCTTTCCAAAATAAATAGTCAGATTGTTTATTTGTAAATTTTTGTCAGTCTTCATTGTAATATACACTAACCATGGATCAGATGAGGATCCAGAATGAGATCAAGGACGGACCAACAAAGACCCAAATCTATGTTCTCATTTTGTTCAAACACATGCAGGGCTCATCTGACAGAAACAAACATAGCATAAAAGTGAAAAATATGCATTCAACACACATTACCAGACATTTTGCTAGATTACCTTCGTTACAAAAAACCCTCATGCATTAGTCAGATGAAAGACTTAAGTTTTACTAATTCATTACAACATCTTTTAAAACAAAATTCAATAATGTTAAACTTAGAAAACTTAAATATTGGAAGTAATTCATTTTATAATAAAGAAAAATTTGAAATAACCTGTTACCACTGGTCCAAATCTGTAATATGAAAAATCGGTACTTAATGAAATGAGATTTACTACATGCAATGATTTCCCTTAAACAAGTCCTTAAACATCAAGGCTGAGACACATGGCTTTAGAATCTTAAGCAGAAGTGTGTATCTTATTTACACTGAAAGGGCTGATTTATGAGGCTTAAAAGAAAAGTGCATGTTTGCTTGGGATACTATATGTTTGGTTTTCACAATAATGGATTTTGAAATTTTATTTTATACCTGAGAATATCAATTCATCATGTACAGTTGTCTCAGTTTATGTCTAAAATTGTCATTTATAGTTACAAAATGGTTTTTCTCTTACATGGAATATGGTATACCTGCAGTAATGTAATGCCAAGTATAGGTGGTCCCTCCTAATAAAACTATAATAAAATGCTTCGCTGGGGCGCAGCTTGATACGACCGCAGAGGTCGAAACCCTGAACAGTTGGGGCAAGTATGGACACAAAATTCAAGCTTGATACAGCTATGACTTTGGATTGTCATTAAATATTTGACACAGCATAGGTTTCTGACACAGGATGAATGTGGTGTAAGAACTGGAAAAATTTAATTTACCTATTATGGTGGAATATCCATAAAGTAAATTGTTTGTTAATTTCAATATATCAAAGAATATGTAGAATTCAATGTTTGATGTAATGTAATAAAGTTGAAATTTGGACCGTTTTTGTTCAATGTGGGCCAATTTGGTAACATGTATAAATAATCAAAAATCTAAATACATGGGAGCCCATTTAAATACATCATAAAGGTAATAAAATAGAAAGTGACATCATAGTCATGGCTAAAAATAAACAAAAATCCTTAATCAGCAACATTTAAAGTAATATCTAAAAATAAAATTCCTTTGTAACCATAAAAGCCCATTTAAATACATCATAAAGATATTAAAATAGAAAATGACATCATAGTCATGGCTAAACATAGCAAAAAACCCTTAATCAGCATCATTTAACAGTAATATCTAAAAATGGAAATTACATCATAAAGGTATTAAAATAGAAAATGACATCATAGTCATGGCTAAAAATAAACAAAATCCTTAATCAGCATCAGCAACATTTTATAGTAATATCTAAAAATAAAATTCCTTTGTAACCATAAAAGCCCATTTAAATACATCATAACAGATATTAAAATAGAAAATGACATCATAGTCATGGCTAAACATAGCAAAAACCTTAATCAGCATCATTTAACAGTAATATCTAAAAATAAAAATTTCTTTGCAACCATAAAAGTAAAATAGAAAATGACATCATAATCATAGCTAAAAATAAACAAAAAAATTTTTTATTGGCAAATTTTAAATGGAGTTTATTATACTAAAACAATAAATTTGCAACCATAAACATGATAAAACTCCATTTAAACACATCATAAAAGTATTAAATAATTCAACTACTTCATAAGGCTATAAAAATAGAAAATGACTTCATAGTCAAGGCTAAAGGTAAACAAAAAACCTTCATCAGCAAAATTTTATATTGGCAAATTTCCAATGAAGTTTATTACACTAAAATTGTTGGCAAATTTCCAATTTACATAATTTAAAAGCAGTGTAGATGAGATATTTAAATGAGTTTGAATTACCAACCTTACACTGCTTTTAAATAATGTTCTTTACTCAATTATTTGTCTATTAAAATGGAAACCCTTGTTTTTTAACCTTTTTTCCCCTTATTCCTTAAACATTAGAGCCATAACCCCCCCCCCCCCCCCAAAGCCAATTATTACTTTCCAATGTAACCTAAATTTCCAATATACATAATTTTAAATTTCAATTCCTTTTTTTATCTTTTATTTGTTTTTCAATAGTCAGGATTTAATATACATGTACCCCTACACTACCACCTGACAAGGGTATCAAGGGGTTACATATAAAAAATAATTCAGTATACAATATATATCACTGACAAGTTGATTTTTATAATTATACATTTACTATGATTTAGTATTTAAGGTTACATATAAATTTTATTTGATTATATTCTCTCGCTCTCTGACTTTCTCTCATACAATACAAATACTCTTCACTCATTTGCTTTGCTACAATATGTACATGATGTATCTTGACTTACATTTTAAAAACAAAATATTTTAAAGAAAAAAAAAAAAAAACAAAAAAAAAAAACTCAAGGCTAAATATTTGCTCATGATATATAGATATTTTATTCTCTCACTTATATGAAACAATAATTAATTAAATATTACATGTAAAGGAGACCAAAATTTTTCACACACTTGGACTCTATTATTTTTCTTTGCAATATAATATTCAAGAAATTGGTATTTCTTTATTCTATTCTTTAACCCAACCATATTTGGTTTTGTTTCATTTAATTTACATTTGTATATATAGTTTTTTGTAATTATGACTAACAGATTCAGTAATAAACTTTCATGTTTGCAACCAAGAAACACATTCTCTTTGTTAAGAACAAAGTTTACAAAAAAAAGTTTTACTGCATTTGAAAAAGACTGCCACAATTGAAAAGTTATTGGGCATTCAAAAAAAAGGTGTTCAATGGTTTCTTCACCAAGTTTACAAAAAGTACACATCTTGGTGTCTTTTAATTTAATTTTGTATAAAAAGGTATTAGTTGCTATGATTCTATGCAAAAATTTGTATTGAAAAGTTCTTAAATAAACATCTCTACATGATTTTTTGGTTATCCTGAAACAGTTCTTCCCATTTCGAAAACTTGACTGTTGGTAGTTCAATAACTTTATTTACTAAATTTTTATATACAAATTTGGCTTTCACATTACCTATAATTCTCTTTAAAAAAATATCACCATTATCAGGCTTATCCAAATCTTGCTTTAAACAGTTCTCTTTAAGGTATTTTTTCATAGTCTGAGGGATTCTTGAAATCAGACCATGATATTTGATAAAATTGTTGATTTTTACTCTTTCTTGAAATTGCTCAAATTTATAAAAATTCATATTTTCTTTATTAATTAGGTCACTTACTGACTGCACACCTCCTTGTTTCCATTGAATATAATATGGGAAATCATCCAAAGAAGAAAAGTTCAAAATATCTAATGATAAAATGTCACTGACAGAATTCTCAGTATTAGGTTTTGCGATAGAAAAGCATAGTAAAACATCCTTCCAGAAAGGATTTTTACATTTTTTAGAAATCTCAATCAGCTTTTCTTTCTGTAGATGTAAAACCCTTTCATCCCCATACTGTATAAGGTCTGCCAGTAACAACTGCTGCCAGCCACCAACTGGGTTTGACATCAGTCTTTTTATCCAACTAATTTTTAAATAGATATTAAAGGAATGAAGATGTACCATATTAAGTCCACCTTGTGAAATATCACCAATAAGTGTGTTACGCTTAATTCTGTCTGGTTTTCCACTCCATATAAAATTATAAAATAATGAAGTGAGCTCTGTTAACCTGGATTGTGATAGGTTTGGCAATGCAGTCATTAAGTGTACCAATTTCGAAAGAGCAAGTGATTTAACTACTGTAATTTTCCCCAATAATGTTAGTTTACGATGTTGCCAGCTCTTCAGGATTGCAGAGACTTCTTTAATCTTCTTGGCAAAATTAATTTCTGTGATACAGTTTAAATCTAAAGAAAATTCAATCCCCAAAAG